GTGTCAGCACCGGAGAAGCTATCTTTTCATTTGAGACTCCTCGGAAGAACAGGAAAGAACTGATAATATTGTGGAAGTCAAAACAGACATTTACAGAGGAGTGTACTAATTATATAAAAATTTATGAAATCCAAACATCAGATAAACCCTATTTAAATAACATTACAGAAATGCCCATCTTCAGAACAGAAGGGGAAAAAAATGGGAAGTCCTGTCACATTAGAATGGTTGATGATAAACAGAACTCACTGCTACGTTTATCTCACTTTCCTTGAGCGTATTAGTTTCCTAGCGCCTCTGTGACAAAGGAGCACAGACTGGGTAGCTTGCAACACAGACGTTCGTTCTCTCACACTCTCGGAGGCTGGAAGTCTCCAGTCCACGTGTGAGCAGGGCCATGCGCTCCCTGAAGGCTCCAGGTGAGAAGGCTTCCACTCCCTCTTCCCAGCTCTGGTGTTTGCCAGCCATCCTTGGCGTTCCTTGACACCGTTCCAATATCTGCCTCCATCTTCACATGACCCTCTCTTCTCTGCATCTCTGTGCCTTAATTTAATCATTCTATCTGCAGAGACCCTATTTTGAAATAAGGTCACATACTGAGGTTCTGGATGGACATGAACTTTGGAAAATACTGTTCAACCTACCACACTGAATTAACACATTATAAGAGTCAGGGAAGATATCAGCTAATACACGTCTATTTAATATCTATTCATTGCCTCCACTAAGCTAGGAGTGGAGACAGTGCAGTGAATGAGACAGACATCATTCCTGTCCTCGGGTTTTGTGCACAATGTAGTCCAAGTTGACAGATCAGGAACATTTGAGACTTCACTCCTCCATTTCTACTCCAGCCCTGTATAGTGTTGGGTTTAATTTTTAAATGTAGTTCCCTAAGACAGGGCCTTTTCTTCTCATTGCATTGGAATAGGAATTAAATATTAATTTTTTACTCATTGCATGCGAAATTAGGAAAGAGGGGAGCAAGATGAACGACTGAAGTGTGGCCCATCTTTTCATGACGTAACCTCCCCTAAAAGATTTCCTCAGGCCCTAGACTGATGGGGATGGTTTTAATGTGCGTTGCGTTCAGCATGATCCCAGAAAGCACTGAAAATCATGTGTCCAAACCAATATTGAAATAACCAAGTGTGTGGGAAGCAACCACTTCATAGAGAACATTTTCATATATCAGAAAATATAAAGCAAAGAATAGACTTTTCTGTCTGGTCTGATCAGTTTTATTTTGTAGACAGAATTTCACAATGTGAGCTTTTTTTTTTTAGTTGAAGAATAATCAGTTATAATGTGTCAATTTCTGGTGTACAGCACAATGTCCCAGTCATGTATATGCATACATATGTTCATTTTCATATTCTTTCCATTAAAGGTTATTACAAGATATTGAATATAGTTCCCTGTGCTATACAGAAGAAATTATTTTAATCTATTTTTATATATAGTGGCTAACATTTGCAAATCTCAAACTCCCAAATTTATCCCTTCCCAACCCTTCTTCCCTGGCAACTGTAAGTTTGTTTACTATGTCTGCAAGTCTATTTCTGTTTTGTAGATGAGTTCATTAGTGTCCTCTTTTTCCCTTTTTTTGTAGATTTCACATATGAGTGATATCATATGGTATTTTTCTTTCTCTTTCTAGCTTACTTCACTTAGAATGACGATCTCTAGGTCCATCCATATTGCTGCAAGTGACATTATTTTATTGTTTTTTATGGCTGAGTAGTATTCCACTGCATAAATATACCACAACTGCTTTATCCAGTCATCTGTCAATGGACATTTAGGTTGTTTCCATGTCTTGGCTATTGTAAATAGTGCTGTTGTGAACACTGGGGTGTGTGTGTGTCTTTTTGAATTAAGATTCCCTCCAGATGTATGCCCAGGAGTGGGATTGCTGGATCATATGGTAAGTCTGTTTTTAGTCTTTTGAGGAATCTCCATACTGTTTTCCATAACTGCTGCACCAAATCACACTCCTACCAACAGTGTAGGAGGGTTCCCTTTTCTCCACACCCTCTCCAGCATTTATCGTTTGTGGACGTTTGAAGGATGGCCATTCTGACTGGTGTGAGATGATACCTCATTGTAGTTTTAGTTTGCATTTCTCTGATAATTAGTGATACTGAGCATTTTTTCATGTGCCTATTGGCCATTTATATGTCTTCACTGGGGAATTGCTTGTTTAGGTCTTCTGCCTATTTCTGGATTGGGTTGTTTGTTTTTTGTTATTAAGTTGTATGAGCTGTTTATATATACTGGAAATTAAACCTTTGTCAGTTGCATCATTGGCAAATATTTTCTCCCATTCCATAGATTGTCATTTTGTTTTGCTTATGGTTTCCTTTGCTGTGCAAAACTTATTTTTCTTAGCAACAATGAAACAAATTGCTCTTCTTCTGGACACATTTTATTTGTGTGTTCTGCAGATTCGGCTGCTTTTGTAGTCACACGTTGGTCATAGCTGATCAGCAAGGGTCAGCGATTCCCTGATGCTCCGGTGTGAATACCAAATATTAGCAGGCGCTCCTCACTTGAGTTGACAGCCCTTACTTCCACTTAGGGAGCTTTTGGACTTGGTTACTTGGACTGTCGAATTAACATTAGAAAGACTTTTCCTCTCAGCCGTTCTTGCCCCGTCATCAGCAGGATGACTGCCCCTGAGCAGAATGCTGATTAGTCTTTTAGAGGAATCAGCTCTAAAATCATCTCATAGAAAACCATTTAGCTGGTTTCCCCTCTACTAGGGCGACTTTTCATGGTCTGATGAATGAAACTGTGGATAAGAAAGTCCTTCAGGCTGTATCCTCATCTAAGACTCACTGTTTTTTGACCCAAATTTTTGAACTCTCAGTAAAGCCTGAAAAGTAAAGAGCTTTTAAAAAATTCATACTCATCTGCCATCTTTAATTTCAGTTTACTTAAGATGGCTACAAACTGGGCAGTTTTCGTAAGTCTTTTTGAAATGAAAAAGTTGTCTTTGACTTTTTTTGCTCTTTAAGCAAAAAGTCCGTTTATCTTACTCGGAATTTTCAGTACATTGTATTTCAGAACTCAGAGCACGTGATGCCTTCAGAGGAGATGTAAAATTGTGTTTGTTTAAAATCCTGCATCCTTTTATGGGGGAGGGTGTAGCCTGGTGGTAGAGCACATGCTGAGCATGCACGAGGTCCTGGGTCCAATCCCCAGTACCTCAACTTAAATAAATAAATAACTTAGTTACCCCCTCCCCAAAATAATTTTTTAATAATAATACAAAATAAAAAATGTGTCTCAAAAAATAAATAAATATGTAAAAATATGTAAACCTAATCCCACCAATAAATAAATAAATAAATAAATAAGTAAAATCCTGCATATTTTCTTCAAAACCTGAGATTTTAGTCCCAGTCACCTCCAGTAGCCTGACCAAATCCCCATCAGATGGACTCCCTTCTCTGTACTCTCAGGACTCCATGGGTGATGCTTTCAGCTTCAGTCCTCATTCTTAAATTGTCTTGTAGTTTTTTGCCATTGCTGCCTAAAGATGTTTCCTGCCACTCCAGGATGGACTTGGCCTATCCCTGGGATGACCGTTTTTGTGTGTGTGTCTGTAATAGTCACACATGACTTACACTGCTTACAAATTGTTTTCATTATACTCTTTAGTTCAAATGAACAGGGCAGTGTAGTGGGACTCCTCTTTTGTTACACATTTCAGCAAAATCTCTGTCCCAATGCAGTCTGATACTGGCCTCTACTGTTTGGACAGAGTCGAGAGTTTTTCTCAAGAAAACGTGACAGCATTTTCTTAATATTTTACCGAATTGACTAGTTATCTGTATTCACTGAGCTAACCACAGATGTTTTTTGATGGTGCATGTGTGTTTTAATTTGGTTTCTTTGTTCTTGTTTTGTTTTTTTTCCCAGCAAACCATCAATTGTAAATTTAAATTGTCACTGACATTGTCAGTGGGACTCACTTGCAGAGGAGTCTTGATTCAGGAGAAAAAGCTATAGCTGAAGAACCTAACCTGGATAATCACATTATTTCCATGGGAGCAGGCGGCGTCCTCTGCAGCCTGAGAGCAGCGAGAGGTTGCAGGTCGGGCTGGGACCCAGGGAATCTGGGCACCAGCTGCCACTTTCCACTGCCCGGCACCTGGCACTGCACCACCTGCTCACTGAAGGAAGGGGTGGAATGCATTTCCGCATCCCCCTCCCTGGCCTTAATGAAAAAGTGCAGGCTAAATAAAACACATGTTTACAACTGTACCAGAGCAGGTGGCAGCCCAGTGCCTCAGCACATCTCTGATGTTCCTCCCTCCCCGATGTGACTGTTAATGCGAGAGCTACAGGTGTTCTCATCTGGGAAAACATGGAGGACACCAGGACGTCCTCGGCCAGTTTGCAATCACAATGCCATAAACTGGAGCCTCCCAGCAGTGATCCGGATTCAAGAACCTTCTTTTTCTCTGCTTGCCCTCCTAGAGAATTGTTTTATTTAATGAATTTTAGCCTGTTTTAAAATTGGTTGAATATTCTCTAAAGAGAACACATTACATCTACTGAGCTTGGTTCTCTTCTTTCATTCTCATTCGTGCCTACTTTTCTACTAAGAAATGATATATTCAGGAAAATGCAATAATTCTAGAAGACCAGAGGACTATTCATTGCTGAGTGAGCATAAATAAGTATGAGTGTAAAACGGAAAGCTTTCCTTTTCAAAGACATAAGTCAGGCACGTGCTGAGCGCCCTTGGCTTTGCTTTGGAGAGCAGATTACCTCTCGTTCATGCGGTCGTATGTCCTCATCCCAAGTCTGCTCAGAAAGGATGGCATAAACTATACAACTTTTTTTTTAATCACTTAAAAAATTTTTTTTATTAAAGTGTAGTTGATATACAATGTTAGTTTTGGGTGTATAGCAAAGTGATTCAGTTATACATATACATATATATGTATATGTTTATTCTTTTCAGATTCTTTTCCATTATTTTTTTTAATTGAAGTGTGGTCAGTTACAATGTGTCAATTTCTGGTGCATTATATGTTATTTCAAAAAATTGAATATAGTTCCCTACACAGTAGGTCCTCGTTGTTTATCTATTTCATACGTAGTAATGTGTGTCTGTTAATCCCCAACTCCTAATTTATTTCTCCCTGCCCTTTCCCCTTTGGTAACCGTAGTTTGTTTTCTACACCCGTAAGTCTTAAACGATACAACTCTTAAGAAATTAAAACACTAACTTTTTAGGACAAAAATGGTTGGCTCCTTCTTCCCTTGAAGCACAGAAGAAAGAAAATATTTAATGGGGAACATTTGGTATTTCCCACTAGTTACTACGAAGGACAAGAGAGTTTCCTCACATACCAAAGCAGCCTTAAAACAGTTTGTTTTTAAATGAATGAACCCACCAGTAAAGAATCTGGCTCCTTCTGGATGATGTCTTAGGCAAAGGTGCAAGATTTGGGGTGAGGGAGACAGTGACCGACACACACCCTAGTGGTAACTCCCGGCATAGCTGTCCCCTTCCAAAGATGCCGGTCCTCGGAGCCTTGCTGCTCTCTAGAAACCAAAGTCAGTTTCATGTCCAGATTTTCCCTGGTCTGTTCGGAAAAGCAATTCTGTGTGTTATCACTGGATCAACAGAAAGAGGACAACTGGGCACCTGACTATGGTGATGGTTTTCAAGGACGCAAGCCAAGACTACCTTCCAGACAGAAGGCCAGTGTGCTCAGACCCTCTAGGAAGGCATCGCTTGGAGCATTGTTTTCAAGGTAGTGGCTACACCACAAACAGCCTGAATTGTATTTCTGTAATCCAACCCTGCTCAGGAGGGCAGCCAGTGAACAAAATACTACCTGTCGCCCCGGTGGCTGTTGTGGCTCTTGACACTTGGCTACAGTGTTAGACAGTGTCTGTCATTTGCACTTAAAATTAGCTGACTTAGGGCTGGGAGAACACTAAGCAAATGCTTTTGTTATCTTGTAAAGTTGCATTGAGAGCAGACCTCTAACTCTGCGCTTCCAAACTTTCTGTGTTTGCAGGAATACTATGGTTGAGGACCATGGTTGCTACCCTGGGAAGACTCGGAATAACCATGGCCTTTGAAATTGTTTATTTGGTAAATTCAGAATTGTACCCAACAACATTACGGTAATTCCAACATATATATCACGGTATCTCCTAAGTAATTCTGCAGCCGCGTGTCTTAAGTTGACTTAAAAACCATGAAATTGTTTTCTTTCCTTGGCGACATATCAGCCTGGGCTGAATTCAGCCAGTGAAAAAGATCCGTTTAGAGTTGTAGCTGCTTTTTGCATTATTATCGTCAATATCTCTATACACAGTCGGGTTTTTGTGGAAAGGCACTAGAGTGGAAATCAGAAAATCTGGCTGGTGTGCTTGCATCACGAGTTAAAGCTGTCTTCATCAGCCTTGCCCGGTTTGCAGGCTGCAGCCTCCGTTCTGACCACACTCCCTGTCTTGCAGCTGTGAGCAGCCAATTATTGAAGGGCCAGACGTAACAATATGCAGAGCCAGTGCAAGTTGGCCGCCTTTCCTGGGGCTATATCCGTGGGCACACCTTAGTGTCAATCTTGGGTGCCAAGGAGACAGCAGCGCCACAGAGCGGGCCGGGTAGCGAGCTGCTGGTGGAAGATTTCCGCCAACACTGTAGACCCCCCACCAGCCTCACTGCGGCTCAGCACTTACCCAGATGTGAACTGGTGCAGACTGAAAATGCTTTGCTTAGGGTATGAGAGAGCAGGAATCTTCCAAGTTAAAAGCTATGGAAGTGAGAAAGATTGTTACAATCTCTGTGTTACTTATATATCTGAAAAGTGTACTTATCTTGAATTTATTTAAATAGTTTTTGTTTAAACCCATTTTTTTTAATCCTGCAGAAACTTCGGCGTTTCACTGTGTTCAGGTTTATGTGATTTTGGGGGAATCATAGCCCCGTTTCTGCTCTTCCGGCTCGCGGCCGTTTGGCTAGAACTACCTCTTATCATCTTTGGTGAGAACTCACTCTGCATGCTGTTCTTAAATGCTTTCATCCACGTTCTTTGCCTTAACAGAACCCTGTGATGATGATCAGATTTGATATTAATGGTATCTATTTACTCTTTTTATGACAACTGTTTTGGTTTTGAGGAACCACTCTGATTACAGTGAAATGTGGACCGTACATCATTTAAATGTACTTTGTATTAAAGGGTTGTGATGAAAAGTGTTTCACTTAACTTTATTGGAGGTTCTGAGTTAAAATCAAATACAGTGAAGCTCATGTATGATATTGTGGCTCATAGCCAATAATTTTCAGGGAACCAAATAGGACCTTCTGCATGTTTAGAAACAAGCCACAAAACTAATTGTATTGTTAAGCGTTCTACATCTCTCAAATCCTATCTTCATTTGCTTTGGTGCTAAGCACGCCGCGCTGAAAGAACAGAGGACACAGAATCCCTTGCACACGCTCCATAGTCTCTTTGATGTGCCTTGAGATCATACCCTCCTGCCCACCTCAGTCTTCACAGAAGGCAAGACGGGATAGAGCCATAGTGTAGGGAGGGACCTTGGGGTAACTCAGGGTGGCGCTTCTCGAGTGCCGTCCCAGCCTTTCTGCCTGGACCTCGTCATACCCTCCTCTTCCCTTCTCAGCAAGAGAGGATGCAGGCTGGCCCTTTTCTCACCTACCTTTCCTTTGCCTCCCCCTCCTGACTCCTGGCAAAGAGTGATTTTCATTCATTGCTCAGCAGTTTCAACTCCAATGAAAACATCAAGTCCGTGAGGGCATACGTCCTGAGCAACGCAAACGTCCTTGAGTAGTGTTTGGGACTGGAAAGTCAGCTTCTAACCGTTGATGTCAGTGACTTCAATAAAGGATCATTTCAAATGATCTCATGGGATCTGATAAACAAGTGTGGCATTGATTCTGCGGCTAGCACGAGAAAGCAAAGACGGGGCATTGTTCCACCGAGACAGAGTGGTCTAAGGGCCCAGGCTCTCAAGATGGGCAGGCTGGCTAAGCTGGCACTGGCGCTGCGGTGCAGGCCCTCCCTTCAGAGTCTGGCTGGGGAGGGGAGACAGCTGCATTTCCAAACAGCCAGTCACCTGAGAGCGTGATCAACAAGGATGCTACACATCCTTGTTGCGGCAAAGAACAGGGCTCACCGACCCCCAGAGACAAGGGGAGAAGGTCAGGGGGCAAGGAAGCCATGCCTCGGCTGAGGTCTGAGGGTGAATAGGAATTACCCATGGGAGGGGTGTGGGGCTCCAAGCAGCGGGAAGGCCTGGAGAAAGCAGAGGAAGGTGTTCTCTGACCCCCAGGAAGTTAAAGGACAGAGCACGGTGTGTGAGGTGAGGCCTGAAGAGAGGTGAAGCTGCTGTGGGGGCGAGCTGGGGCCAGACGATGAAGGGTCATTCAGACAAGACACAGAAGCCAGGAAAGCAAAGCAAGGATGTATTAAGTGATAGTACACTCTCAGGGGAGAGCAGGCAGACTCAGGTGAGCAGCTGCACTGAGTTTCTTTGGCAAGCTGGTTACATGGGGCATAAAAGTGAATGGGCAGAATACCCATCAGGGAGGAGGGATTTGTTGATCATATTCCCTGATCTTCATCCCAGCTACACCTCCCCGAGGAGAGGAGGGATTCTTGCTCTTATTTAGTCTGGATCGGAAGTTTCATAGTGTAGGTGCCTGATGGGTACTTCTGATCTGCAAGGCTGATTTTATTGTAATGAGGTCATAATGAGCAAAAGGTAACATTTGGGCTCCAGAGAGTCCTGCCTTTCGCCACCTTTCTTTGTCTGCCTCCAGGACCCTTGTCACCCCACATTGTGGAATTTCCTGTCGGTCCAGAGGTTCCTGCTTTTCTCTGTCTGCCCAAGGACCCCGTTGTTTACAAGATGTGTGGTTTCCTGCCATTTGGCCTGTGTCCTCCTTTCTCTGTTTATAACTAGCTTTCTGCCTACTCTAACATTCTCGGATGCACAAAGGGTCTGCTCTTCATCCAGACAGCAGCAGGAAGTTGTGGAGGGTTCTAAGCTGGGGCTGACAGTGTTTGATTTGCATTTTAGAAACAGGACTCTGATGGCAGATATGCAAGTGAGTTGGAGGGGGACCATACTAGTGTGAGATGATGAAAAGAATGTATAATCAGGCCAGAGAGCATGAAGAGTGGGCTCACGGTGATGGCGCTGAGACTTTTGAGGAGTGGATGGACCCCTCAAAATATATTAGAAGTCATATTGGCAAGATGGAGAGATGGACTGGGCAAGGACCAGAGGGAGCGGGGAGATGGGGGCCCAGGCTCCTGGTTGGGAGAACCGCACATGGCGGTGCAGACCACAGTCTAGTGAAGCCAGGGGGCAGGTCTGCCAGAGGACATGGAGGGGTTCTGTAGGGCTGTTTGTCGCACGAGACACCTCTGAAAAATGCAAGTTGAAATTGTGAGAAGATGGGAGGCTTTGATGAGCTGAGTCAGGAGAGAAGTGTGGCCTTCTGATAAAAGTTTAGATGCTAACTGGATGTAGATAACCACTGAAACTGTGGGAGTGACCGAAACCCCTGCCCACAGAAAATAGGATAGAGTGAGAGGGAAGAACAGAGTCCGGATGGAGACCTGAGGAGTGACAGAGCATCCAACATGAGCTGCATGAGAGGAGGTGGCTGGGGGATGAGAAGGGATGTGGGGGAGCAGGAGGGAAATCAGGAATGTGTGGGTGCAGGGGACTGTGGGTAGGTTCTGCCGCCATGTCAGGCAGATCCAGTGGATCTGGTGGTGGCAGCAACTGGCCACTTGGCTGGAGCAAGGCCGGAGGGGACATTGAGCAGAAGCCAGATTAGAGCAGGTGGAGGGTGCTCGCAGTGGTGCTGGCTCCAGCCCACCATGGCCAAGTGTTAAGTTTTCAAGAATTTCTGACCTACTTATTAGACACATCCATCATTAAAAATAGACTATCTAATAGATTAAAAACAGAAGTAGTAAATACTCAAAACTCCCCAGTTCCTCATTCGTCGCTATGTTACTATATCTGGCTGTGAGGTTAGCTGCATCTACTGTAGCTCCATCTGCGGTGGAGACACTGGGTGATGGTGCACTGCTCCCCGTCTCCTCAGCACCTCACTAGGCAACCTGGGCTGCTTGTCTGAATGGTGTGCATCCCTGATGGGTGTATTTAAGCCCTAGAAACAGGCAAACACTGTCAATCAGGACTTTATTTTCAGGAAAGCCTGTTGTTACACCTTTCCCGGCACACCACTAGGATATGAAGATGCGTAGAAAATAGGAGAGGATGGCGTTTCAAGAGTTTCAGTTCTAAGGAACAGAAGGAGGGAGGATGGTGCCCAGAGAAAAGAAGAGGTTGATGGACGGCTCTTTAAAGAGGAGAGACTTGAATACGTTTTGGTGCTTCCACAAGTGGGTTAACGGTACTGGAGAGAGGGGCTGAGTCCCTCCAGTGAGGACCCCTAAAGGACTCCAAAAGATGCCCTTGGGCAGATGTCAGGACAAGTCTTGCAGTGGAGCTCAAGGTGGGGGGGGGTGTGCTGAGGCTCTAGGAAGCTGAGGGGCTCCCCTCTAGCAGCTTCTCTTTCCCCCGTGAGTAGGAGATGAGGGCTTCTCTGAGTGTTTGGCACTTAATAGGCCCTCAATAAACAGCTGTCAAATGAGTGAGTGAACAGATGTACAAGTGCACAGGGGCAATGGGACCATCCAGGGTTGGAGGGGCATAGACAACACTTGAGACCACGATGAAGGAACACTGGAAGGCTGTTAGAGTGACCAGAGAGCTGCTGCAGGTGAGGCTGGTTCAGGGTAGTGAGGCTTCCAGAGGGAGGGAGGGATGAGAGGGGCCGGCTGTGTGTCCTAGTACCGCAACGCCTTTCCCCTGTCCCGTAGGTATCCTGGCATCTGTCTGCGGTGGTCTCGTGATGCTTTTGCCTGAAACCAAGGGTATTGCCCTGCCAGAGACAGTGGACGACGTAGAAAAACTTGCCAGGTATGGTCCGAAATTCAGCGCCTCCTGAAGAAAGGCAGCATTTCAAACCACTGGGAAAGGATGGTGTTGAGAAAACTGAATATCCATGGGGAAAAAATAATATGGAATCCCTCTCACATCCTAAGCAAAAGAATTCAAAGTAGATGAAAAAGGTTAACATAAAAAACCTAAAAGAATATATTTGATTTTTTATATGTGATTATGAAGAGGGAAACATTTCCAAATAAGGTGTTAAAACTCACAGGGAGTCTAAAGGAAAGGGATTGATGATTTGACAAAGTAGAAATAATTTATTTATTAAAAAATTTTTAATTGAAGTGCAGTCATTTATAATGTGTCGATTTCCAGTGCACAGCACAGTGTCCCAGCCACACAAAGTAGAAATCATTTAAATGGGCATTGGTAGGCAACTGACTGTGAAAATTATCATATATCCATAGATTACTATACAGAGATTAAAATAATTGAAATATATCTATATGGAGTGGCATGGTAAGATTTTCAAGACTGATTACAGAGTGAAAAGTTGCTGAACAAAGTGTTATAGTATTTATTAAAAAATAAAGCCCAGAGCAATCCCTCAGACAGCTGGATGGGAAGCTACATGACAGCCATGACGGTAGATGGACAGACAGATGAGACGTTATGGGTAGACAGCCAGAAGGAAGATGGAGGAAGGAGAGAGCGAAAGAGACTGAGTTGAGGGAAGGGTGTCTAAGTGGTGTGCAGGTAAAGTTAATATCCAACCAACACAGAAACATGAAATATATTTTTTTATAGAAACAAAAATTCACATTACACAAACTCTTTCTAACTCTCTCTTTTTGAAGTCTTTCATAATAAAAAGATAGGAAGAGAGAATTTGGAAATGAGAATGCATAGGAAAAGATCTAAAGTGGTAAAATAAACCTCTGGGAATAGAAATGGCTTGGGGAGAGAATGCAGATGAGACATCAATTTTATACTCTACAGACTTTTGAACTGTTTGATTTTTTTTTTAATTGCAACCTGTGGTCTTGTATTATTTGTGAATTAAAAACAATAATTTAACAGCTATTTTAAAAATAAGAAATCAATCTTCTTCTAAACAACGACTTGGAAATTAAGGGCAGGGATCTCTAAATTTTTTTAAATATATCAAAAATATCTATGAAAAGACTGAAATGTTAGTAACCTCAGGGCAGATTTATTCTTCAGTTGGTAAATTGGGAAGAGAGTGAAAAGAGACTTTTTTTTTCCATTCTTATATATATGAGCGATTGGTTCACTCACATATGTCATTTCATTTAATAGTCAAAGTGATTTTGTCCAGGTTCTTATCCTCACTTATTTATATACTAGGAGATCAATGCTCAGAAAGACTTCACAACTTTTACACGCTAGGGCCGAGATTAGCATTATCCGGTGTGCAGGTGTGACTCTGTCGTTCGGGGCAGTTTTATTACCTTGTGCTGTATCTACTTGATTATCAGTATTTTGATAGTGAGCCTCTCCCTGGTAGGATTAGAAATTTCTCTCTTCATAGCTCCTCTTAATGAGGTATCATCCCTCTCCCCAGAGATGGGCAAGCATTGCTAAGTATCTCATGAGCATTTTACCAGATATTTAAAATCGATACAGTGATTTCACTGTCCTGTGTCTTGATGCTATTTTGAAAAGTAAGACTGATGAATCATCTCAGAACTTCCCTGAGAAAGCCTTATCGATATCCTCAAAACCAAAGCACGAGCTCACATCCCAGTGGCTGACCTCTAACAGGACTGGCCCGTCAGAGGACAGGTGGCTGTGCGTCCCATGAAGTAACCCAAACAGATTCCTACGCCTGTTTGTAAGTAAACATAGGCTCTTCCTCAACCAAAACTGCCTACTTTGGACTCTAAAACAATGCTTCAGGAAGTCTGAGGCGAGGTGGAGATTCTCTGTGAGACGCTGCCATTTTGTAAACCAGAAAGAGGCAATTTATAAACAGTATTAAAACCATGTGAAGTCGTCATGAGTGTTAACACCTGGCAGGGTGTCGCTCCATCCAGGAAGGATAAACATCCTGCTGGCTGTCCTGTCACAGACAGTAACTTGGCTTGTATCAGGGTGGGGGGTCCCTGATTGGGTAAGAGGTGCCCAGTCCTGTCAGCGCAACGGCAGCAACGCTAGCGGGCCAGCAGAACGAAGGGAGGCGGCGTATTCAAGGTGAAACGAAGCAGGGAAAGTGGCGAGAAAGGGAAAAGGACTGTCTCCAAGTCTGACGGCCAGGTAACTTCTCATGGGCCAACGTGTCCTGACGGACCTGTTCGGGGCTGGGATACCCAGCAGAGCATCCCGGCCAGGCCTTTAGGGTCAAAGTAAGACGGAGCTCAGTGCTGACCACTGGTGA